ATACATATTATTAAATTAGTTTTCATTTTGGTTATAATTTCGTATTGTAACAAAAGATTAATTTCCGTGTTAACATATTTTCTACGCGACGTAACTTTTGCTCCGAAACGTTTTGCGATAATTTAATTAATTTTTAAGATATTCGATTGAGTTATTTAGATTGAGAGGCTTAATATCTTTCCGATTACATGAAACGTGGAATTAAATTAAATGATTTCAACGTATATACTATTTTATGATTGAAAATTGTTAAAATAGATTATCTCCTCTGAAAAAAAAAAAAAAAAAATATTTTTCTCCCCGGAATACACTTTCTGGATGGAGAGATTGCGAATCCTACGTCTTTTTCCTCTCTCCCTATACGCTCCTTCTTTTCCTCCTTCCTTGTTTACGTATCATTTTCATTACTCGGTCGTTTAGATTAAACTGCAAGGCCCTTTTACGGTCTCTCTTCAACAAAGTAAAGACCACATTCACGCATAAAGCTCCTCTAGTAGCTCCGCCTCTACCATTGCCTGGGGAGAGTATGAGAGAGACCAAGAGAGAGAGAGAGAGAGAGAGAGAGAGGGAGAGAGAGAGAGAGGGAGGAGAGAGAGAGAAAGAGAAAGAGAAAGAGGAAAAGAGAGAGCGGAAGCTTTGAATTTTTAACTTCTGCTCGGTATACCGTGACGGGAAACTCGATTTGGCCGGAACACTGGTAGTCCTTAGCGGTTAAGCTCACAAACCCGTAGAAAAGTACCAAAAATAAAATGATTCGTGATCTCCCGTGAATGGACGAAAGTAAAAAGAAGAGAAATGAGAGAGAAAAAAAAAGAAAACGAGGAACAATAAAAAAGGAGCAAGAAAAGACAGAGAATGAAAAAGAGAAAAAGGGCGAGAGAAAGAGATAGAGAGAGAGAGAGAGAGAGAGAGAGAGAGAGAGAGAAAGAGAGAGGGAGAGAGAGAAAGAGAAAGAGAGAGAAAGGAGAGGAAAGAACATTGTCGGTATAAAGTTCCGTTCGAAAAAAAGCTAGGGAAGTGGAAAAGTCGAGGGAAAATTTAATCGGTCTCTGTTTATTCGGCGGGAATCGCGGAAAACGTTCGCGCGCGTGTTCTTCCGTTAACACTAGAATTCGCATTCGCGCTGAAAAAAAGCATCGCCTTGATACGGCGGTTATTAAAATTCCTCCCGCTGTTGCCACGGAACGAAATTGCGGGTCTCCGGTGTAATCCCATAAAAAGTTGTTAATATTGCAAGAGTGAGGAAAATGACCGTACCGCAAAATACAATTATTCATTAGCGAGTTCCATTTTCCGTCTCTCCTCCCTCTTCACTGGGCAACAACGAGAACGCTTTTCAAATAAAGCGCTCGGCGCTTCGCAATTGCATTTTAAAGCAGCGCGCACGGTAGGTAGGTATATAATTAATGAAATTTGTCGATTCTTTCGTCGAGAAATAGTCAACTAGAGCGTTCATGTAAAAATGGGAATGAATTCTCGCACGGATGCATATACACACAGAGAGATAGAGCAAGAGGAGGAACGAACCTTCTGCATCGGCGATCGATTTTGGCTTCTGGGTCGGCCGCATTGGCATAGCCAATGCAGAAGACAATTGTCCATCAGTGATCAAATTTAACGATAATACCAGATAATTAGATTCATCCTCTAATTTCCGTTACCAATCAAGGTATTATCAGCGGCTGGCAATTATCGACTAAAATTACCTATTCTCTACGAATATCTCCACCTTTGTTTCAACCCTTATCGTCACGTAGCTTTATCTTTCTAAGCGTCTACGCGTTTCCACTATCTCATTTATAGTATCGTCCATATAATATCAACTCTTTCTCCCTTGCAGCAGTGAGATCGGCGGGTAAAAATATTTGAATCTGTCTTTCATGTAAATCAATCATGCGGAGCTCTTGTTTTACCATCTCGTAAAAAATTCGTCATACACATTCGTGTATGAACGACGAGCCATCAGTAGTAATTATTTTCATATGCTATTTATTTTTGTTAGGCATCAGACGATGCATTTTTGCGTTTCCAATATCTTTGTCACCTGCGACTGAATACGTTCGAGCTGGTGAAAAATGGTTGTCGAGACTCTTTTAAAAGGTTCCTAGAAGAACCGGATAATTAAGACTGTCTGTCTGTCTATCTGTCTGTCTGTCTGTCTGTCTGTCTGTCTGTCTGTCTGTCTGTCTGTCTGTCTCTCTTTTTACTTCATTTTAGATTACAAGAACGTAGATATCATTCTATTGGTTTTTCTCTAGAAACTCTATAGAAAGACGAATCTTTCGAGTCGCCGCTTCTCACAGATGTCAATGAACTTTGAAGTCTGATCGATCGTAGGTATCTAGGAACTCATTAACGATAGCCAATCGCGAGTCGTCGCGTAGAAACATTTATATCCACGTTTCATTTTCATTTATATTCACATTCAATGATACTCTTATATACATTCAAAAACTATACTAAAAATTGTATATATTTAGAGTCAAAAGAAGAATGGGATAGATATTGGGAATAAGAAAAAAAATAGAGAAAAGGCTTTAAAGGTTTAATTGGTGGGGAAGGGGCAAAGAAGAGGATACGAAACGTGAATGCAATCGCGACGAGGTCACATGACAACCTCAACTTGGTTAAGTACCTATACTTTATTAAGCATGCCGTCTGCACGTTGCGCCATCCACTTACGTGCTAAATGGAATTACAAATGTATCTCCCGAAAGCCATGCTAACGCATCCTATCCACGACACTGCTCCGGAATGTGTTCTATCCTATGACGCTTGCGACCTCTTCTAAATACGCCGATTACCAGCTGTGCCTCTATAGATTCAGTTGAGCTCTTTTTTCTCAGGATGTTAAACTCTCTTTCTTGCTAGATAATCCTTAGATTATAATTCTCGATAAGTGTCTTTGAATTGTAACTCGAATTCAATCTAAACTATATATTTGTATATTGTATAGAAATTAGTTGATTCTCAGAATAGATAATATTGGATTTGAATTAAGAATACTTCTAATATTTGCATAATCTTAGAAAAGTTGCCTATTTACTTTTGAGAATAAGGCGATTTAGAAATTTTGTCGCAATCTACTTCGAACGAATCATTCATTTTCAATGTGGATCTCGACTTTAAATTGGTAAATGGCGAGCATCAAACGCAGGCACGTTTGATTTATTAAATTGCTACAGGGATCAGGGATGTTGCCTCCGCGAAGAGAGATATTTATTAATGGTTGAATCGGGACAAACAGCAGCTTCATCTTCAGAAGAATCGTTCTTATTGAAACATTACTCGTCGTCGATACAATTATTAAACGTTTGACATTACAACGTATTTTCTATATGGCATCGATATTTCTACCAGCCGTATTACCGCCATAGATATACACAGACTTTCGGTAAATAAGGCCGAGTTTTGTTGAAGATGATGAAAGGCGACTTGTTTACTCGTCGCCGTTGCTGCGTCGTGTGCTTCCGAATCGGTTGAAAGAACTTTCGATGGCTAGAACGCTTTCGAAAGTTTCGTTACTCGAGACAGTTTCGGAACGTCGATTTTCTTCGAACGAAAGAGAACCCTTTTTTTTTCTCTTTCCTTTTTCTTTTTTCCCTATTTTTCTTTTTCGTTTTTTTTTTTTTTTCTTTTTTTTTGACAAAACTTATTCGAACGGTTTGTAGCTTCTGAAAAGTTATCTTTCGGGTTTTACTTTGTATACGAAAATATTGACGATTCCAAATATACGATTTCAGAAATACTTACTATCAGTTACGAAAACGAGACGATTCGTCCTGGCGCAAAGATTGATGGTTAAAAAAGAAGATGGAGAAAGAAAAAGCATCCTTCTCGAAAGATCGAAAAGATCCTGTTCTTTGTACGAGAGAAGTAGCAAAAGCGGCAGCAGGGGTTTATGTAGCTTACAATAATTAATTAGCCATGGCAGGAAAATAAGGATAGAGAGGGTAATGGTTCGTGGGTGGAAAGCGAGGCGGAAAGAAGGATGGTCGCAGGTGTTACTCGCGTTAGAAACGATTTCGCGAAACGAACTGGCGAACAGCGTTCCTCCTCTCCTCGTCGAGAATAACGCGTCAAGCATGAAGACGGTTTTTCAAGCGTAAACGAGTTTGACGGGAATACGATTTCCGGCCGTGCGGCTTTCTGCTGTACTTACACAGTTATATGATGGATCGATCATTATTCTTCGTGAAAGGAAAAAAAGAAAGATTTACCAGAATTTTAAGCTATTACTCTGGACGATATTATTCGAAAAGTTTAAAATGCGATGCCACAAACCGGCAGCGAATAAAAATGATCAAGAAGCTTTTCCATCGGCTGGCCAATAAAATAACGCGTAATGATTTACGATAGGAGGCGGGTTTCGACGCACAATAAATGTGATTTATCGACGTGTTCTGTGATTTATGATCGGTCGGCAATTTCGGCCAATCGATAGGATATATACAATCGTATACTTTTTAATATTTCTCGCGGCTCCGAACGTAAACGTAAACGGAAAAGGTACTGTAACGAAGGATCCTCCGGAGATTTCCTGGTAGATTAAGAAGGAGAGACGAGAGACGGGTCGAGAGTTTTCTGATCGATGTGGACGACTGGCCAATCGGTCATTAAGTATATCCTCGAGAAAAGTGCAAAAAACGCGTGATACGACGATCAATCTTCCATAAGTCGAAGGATCGAAAGAAGATCGGCCGCTTCGTTTCGTGTGACGCAAAGAAAACGACGCGATAGCGTAGCGAGACTGGATCCATCAGTGGATCTATCGCCGAATCTCGAAGCTCGAATGATAGTAAAGAAAGAAAGAGAGAGAAATAATCGAGGAGATACTCAAGGATAGCCGAGTTCTCGTTGAAGAAGACGAGTTTTTCGAGACGTAAGAACGAAGCAATGCGAAAACCTGTCTGATTTCTCTCATGTGATTCGATTCAGTCGCTCGATATATCTCGACCTTTTCAGGAACATTTGTCTAAGAATCTTCTCCGTGATTTTAGGTAGCAGCGAGGAGTCGAAAGCGGGCGCTGGTGATCCGGGAAAGCGAGGAGTGAAGAGATCAAGGTCGAAGGCTTCTTCGCCAGTCAGGCAGGGACCACAGCAATGTCAAGTAAGAATCATTTCAATTTTTTTCATACAAATGATATAGAAAACATCGTTTCGTTTATTATCTCTCCATTTTCTAGTTATGTAGTAAATAGGAATCAATTATAGGACGATCGAATATTCAAGATAATCAAATTTGATCGAGTCAATCGATTTGTGCCACACATTACATCAGAACGCAACATGCGAGTTAAGTCGTATTACGTCGCCGCAAATTTATGCTAACCCTTTCCTCTCTCTCTCTCTCTCTCTCTCTCTCTCTCTCTCTCTCTCTCTCTCTCTCCTTCCATGAAGCGGTCAAACGAATCGAAATAGTAGCATCGAAATCGAGCACTAACGATGCTGACCCACTTTCGATTCGCAACGGCGCATTCGTTTCCAAAAACGACCGCAAGAAAGCTATGCGTTTGGCATGCTGTGCAGGACGATGAAATTTCGTGCATGCTCGTTTTCTTCTTGCAAATATTGCTCCGGTCTACGTTTTGATACGTAATAAAGAAGAAAGAGAGAGAGAGAGAGAGAGAGAGAGAGAGAGGGAGAAAGAGAGAGAGAGAGAGACGTTTTCTCATCTTTATCGATTAAATCTTTATGAATTAACGAAATGATAGTCGTGCGAAATTCGAACGGTAGACGCGTAAAAATATTATTGCCAGTAATTTCTCGAGGACATAAAGTGAATTTTACAAACGTCATGTGCAGACAGGTTGAGAGTTCAAGGCAACAACTGGCCCGAAGATGAATCGTAAAATCAATTCGATTAGTTCGATACGATTCGCATGGAAATTCGTTTGAAATGGCAAAACGTTCTACGATCTCTTGCCTTATCTCTCGACACGTTCTCTCTCTCTCTCTCTCTCTCTCTCTCTCTCTCTCTCTCTCTCATTTTCACTCGTCTTTACATTTCCAGCAATATTTGCATATCTAAATTCGACAAAGTTGAGGAGAAGGCGCATTGCACGACATGGCATGGCACAGCACGGCACGCGCTTGCAATACACGCTCGTGACCCACTTCAAGGTGAAACGACGTCGACGTTAAAGCGTCGTCGACGTCGTCGGCACACATGCATATACGTACTATGCGTCTAGCGTATGCACAACTCTTTCTACGGTACTAGCCATTAGGCAAAGGGCACAAGTCTTGCCTGGTGAATGTGTAAGGGCTGGAAAGGCTGTTGAATATTCAGTTGGAACGATTCTCCAGCCTGGGGACCGAACACGGTAGCTCGTAACGTAACGTAGCACACCGACGTAATACCATCTGCCTCCTTCGGGACGGTATGCTATCCGTATGTAGATCCTAGTATTTAACGACTAAACCCCTCCTTTTCTTTATTTATCCCTCGCTTCCTTTATTTTCTCTCATCTTTCAACCCATCCCGACAGTTTCTCCCTCTCATCGAATGTCTTATTATCTTCCTTTTTTGTCATATCTTCTCACTTTCTGCTTCGTCCTTCTATTTCTGCCTGTCTACTTGTATCCTTTTTCGTCTCATTCGCTCTCTCTCTCTATCTCTCTCTCTCTCTTTCTTTCTATATATATATATATATATATATATATATATATATATATCTTTCTCTCTCTCTCTCTCTCTATCTCACTCTCATTCTTCTTGGCCGCTCATTCGAAGCTTTACAATCTCGAGCCAAAAGGGAACAAGACACAGAAGAACCATCCCCATAGTTTCCTTGTTACGTAATTAAATGATGGCCTGACCGACTTGTTGACAAGCCCCAAGATGTATCGAGTTAGCGGCGAATTAAGCTCATCATCCACGGCTCGATTATAGCTCGCGTACGAACAAGATCAAAAGAGAATAGACAAGTATAGAAGTCACTCGCATGAGCATAATTATCATTATCTACGAAGAATCTTTTGATATACGATGTATCAAGAGCATATACGTTTTAATGAAAAATATTCGTAAAAAAATAAAAAGAAATGAATAGTTTCGCAAATGGATTATTCAACTGAACTTATGAAATAATACTTATTATATGAATTTCCGTTATGAAATAATCGATATCTATCTATTTTTCTTTCTCTCGTTCCAACGACAAATCAGTAATTCCATTAAATTAATACCTTGAATTATCTTCCAACGATAGATCCGTGTCGCTTTTGTCGCTTACCAACGTTATTTACTACCTTAATATCATACATTTATTACTTTTGGCTCTATGTCGTCTTATTTTTGCTCCAAGTTTAAGTTTCAGCTTCCGCGCAAGTATTACGAAGCTCATTAAACCCCAAAGAAGTTAGATGATGATAACAATTCTCCGTAAAATCTGGATCTGGATGACGGAAGGAATAATGGAATACGAAAAGATCTTCAAAGCAAACGAAACTCAGATAACGCACATAGCTTTGATTGATTATCATCGACCGGTGAGATAGGAAAGAGGCTTCCTTTCGTGCAAAGAGAAGTAATGAAAGATACATAGATAGAGATAGAGAGAAAGAAAGAGAGAGAGAGAGAGAGAGAGAGAGAGAGAGAGAGAGAGAGAGAGAGAGAGAGACGAGGAACGAGGAACGAAGAACGAGAAAACGCTCAACGAAGATTTCCTGCAATTAACTCTGAAGTTCCCCTTGCACGAAATTTTGTCGCGCAACCGCAGGGAGAGCGTCTTGTACATTGATTCTACATGAAACGCGTATGCGTTGGTAGATGTGCGCAACGTAGAATGTGAAATGTTCGCAAGGTTCGCTGACACTGGCCGTTAATTAACCAGACTTCAGACCAAATTGTTCCCTGAGCATGCGGCCCGCAACCCTACTTGCTTGCTCCAGTAAGGTGGGAGAGAACTATCCCTATTATTTGACATCACTGTGACTCCTAACTGCTTGGCTTTTGTTTTTATCTATTTTTTTTTTTTTGTTATGGATAGTAGGTTTTGTATTGTTATTTACATTTGTAATATTTCTTTGTTGATTTCATTTTTAGTTGATAATGAGATATAAAAGATAAATACATCGATGAAGAGCCGAAGATATTTAATATTAATTAAAGAAATTAAACTTAAAAGTATTTACTTATCTCTTGAATTTTCCGCTTTTCTGTTTTGTCGATAACTAAGGTCACGATAATCGATTTCAGCGATTACTTATGCACGGAATCATAATGCTCGCTTACAATAAAATACTAGAATATCGCAAGCATTCTATATATTTATATACTAAAATGAAAATAAGGAAGCATAGCTAAGAAGAAGAATTAGTATTCTGATATTTTAAACGACAATATTTTGAAAGTGGAAACATGCAGTGATTAATCACGATATAATACTTATATTCTATTTATTCCTATCCTATGCTGGGTAAAGTATGAGGAGAAAGCTTTTTTATAAGCTGCACGATTTTTGCTTTCAAATATGTAATAATGGCTAGTGAACTTAAGTAATAGGCCCCCGCTTAGATCATGCGAACTTCAGTATTAATTAATCCATTCCCCTACTATTTAAGTTCACTAGCCATCACTCCATGCTTAAAAATAAAAACTGTGCAACTTATGTGGTTACGGCGATGTCAAATAATGGGGATCATCTTTTCCCTTATTAAAAAAGATTTTATCGGAGCAGACAAGTAAATGTTATATGCGATTACTGACTTATACCTTGCGCATAGTGTAGCATTTTATATCTAAGTACTTAAGTATATGTGTTTTGAGTTTCTTTTCAGAGTTAGTATCCGATAGATATTGACCTATGCTAATGCGATACTTATGAATAGTAAAAGAAAACAGTTTCATTACGACGTTCAACAAGTAAATTTATCAACTGTTTTTATTTTCTATTTTATTTTATTTTGTTTTTTTTTACGTTTCCTTTTACGAGAAAATCGTAATTCATTTAATTTCAAGAATACTGACGCGATTTTCCCGGCTTCACATTAATTTTCTTTTTACAACCAATCTAGACTAGTCATGCATTCTCTTTAATATTTTCCATCGTTGACTAAGAGGACAACACCAGAATGACGGTGATGCTGGCTTAGATACTTTTATATCTTCGTAGTAAGCGAGTGACACGTTTTCTTTTTCTACTTTTTCTTTTACTTATTCTTTTCCTTTTTTCTCCATCTACTGGCTTCTCATTTTTCGCAATCTTCCTCATTATTTACGGATGCACGAGTTTTTCATCTCCTTCTCTCTCCTTCTCTCTCTCCCTATCTCTCTCTCTCTCCCTATCTCTCTCTCTCTCTCTCTCTCCCTCTCTCTCTCTCTCTCTCTCTCTCTCTCTCTCTCTCTCTCTCTCTCTCTCTCTCTCTCTCTCTCTCTCTCTCTCTCTCTCTCTCTCTCCCTTTCCCTCTCTATCTTTCCCCCTCTTTCTCTTGCTCTCTTATGATGTTTGCTAATAAGATGCACTTTTTAGAAAGATTTCGACTGGCCAGAAGCAACAAATTACATTCCTGTTCTCCGTACTCCCTATACTCTCATTTTGTAGCATTTGCTACATATAAAATAGATTAACTATTTCCTTCTTCTTGGTTCTTTACGGTTAAAATGATTATTCGGAACAATGTTTCGTTAAAGTTTCGTGTCGTCCTTCAACGACTTTCATCTTTCAAAAGATGAAAATTTTATGGATAAAGAAAATAAAATTAAAAAAGAAAACATTATTACAAACTCAACAATTTTGAGGACTTTAATTTAGCATTGCACTTGATGATTACTTTAATAAATCTTTTCCTATTTAATATTTATTAAACATGGCTGATTTTAATATAGATAATGTTCCAATGATCGATAAACATTTCATTTTGTCTTGTAATTTTTTACAAAGAATCACGTAACATATTATAATCATAATAATTGTATCTTGTTATTTGCGTTTTACAAATACTTTCAATAATTTATATATCTGAATCAAAAAAAAAAAAAAAAAAAAAAAAAAAAACTAAAAATTACGTATCGAATGAATTCTGTTTGAAAATCGACGGTATCCATTTTAATGCAGTTGAAGGAGCGATAACTGCAGCACTGATAGAAGCATCCTTTTCCTCTCGCTTTCGACTCCCTTTTAACGAAGTATCAATGTTACCACCAGCGAATTACGTATTCAGGACCGGTGTTGGTCGGTGTACTTTGGCAAGATCTCGCAGCATGACCAAAGCTCGAAGCAGACGTTGGACTCTAGAGGATAGAAAGGGAAGAGAAGAGACACGAAGAGGGGTGTACAAAGGCCAGGAGTAATGATGTTTGTTTAGCTCTCGAGGAAGGCCCGTCTGAGGGCGAAAGATCTGGGTTTTGGCACGGAGATGATGGTCGAGGGACGGCAGGATTGGGAGCTGCCCGAATCTCTATCCACTCTCTTTCTCTCTTTCTCTTTCTCATTCTCTCTCTCTCTCTCTTCTTTACCTTCCAATACGCGCTTACCTCGTAAATTGAAACTCCCGTGTGGTAGTACTCATGCATCTGAAGCTCCTTAGGAGTTAAGCAAATTAGATTGTCTGCTTAGAAACTGAAGGAACGACTAACTTCCTTTCAACATCTTCCTGATGGATAAAGCGTACAATAGAACAAAAATTTTGTTCGATTCTTAAACTTCCTTCGTGTCGTTGAAATAATTATGATTAACTAATAATGCATCATTCTTAGTGAATTCGCTTTATTGTGAACGAAGTCTGGAAGATACCGTAAATCGTAGTGGAGCGCGAACCACTTTAAAAATATATACGTAATGCTGTAAAAGAGCAATAAAAGCGTACAAGTTAAAAAGGTAGAACTACGCTTTTATATGGGATTTAGTAAGAGTTTTTATCGTATCGAGCTCGTATCCGTGCGAGCGTTTTCAAAGAAATACTTACGTCCACTTAAGGTTTACGTCAGTCCGGAGTTTTACTACGCCGTTGACACTTTTCACTCGAAGCATAAAAATTTCTATAGGCGAATGTGCCAGGTCTAAAGTGGCCAAAGAACCGTCCTTGCCACTTAAGAATAAGACGAATTTGTGTTTCGAAAAAGAGAAAGTTCAATTTAATTTCTTCCTTTCTTCTCGTATATACAATAAAACATATTTATAATTGTTATGAAATAAAAAGAACGCAAACGAAAAAAATCTTTCGGATAATAGAGAGTCTCGATTCCATGGCTTTGCATGTTTTGCTCGTATTTATTTATGTGACGTTGACACTAACAACATTGTTATGAATATGTCGATAATTAATTTCGATTTAACACTGTCTTTCTTTCTCATATAGTTTCCAAGAAATTCTACCTTGCGTGTGATTCCTGATGTTTATTTGTGTTCCTTTTCTCTTCAAAAAGAAACAGGCAATTTCAAATTTTTATCTCTTGCGGACGATGATGAGGGCACAACATTGTCGCACCCTTGAGACGATATTTCAAAATTTCAAACTTGATAAGGTCGTAAGTTCCACTTAAAAACGTGATCATCTTCAGAGAAATTCTTCCTTCTCATGGGAATAGCTAAATATCGTTCCTGTATCTCTTATTTTTCTTTCTTTTGGTATCTCGTTTTACATTCAGCTCTCGTAGATATAAAAAGTTATACGAGAAATACGAAAACGAAATAAGAAAACAAGAAAAGGAGAAAATGAAAGAAAATGTCGTTCGTCATGAACGTTAAACGTTTTTCATTCATTTGCGCATGGCTTTTTGAACGCATTCTTCGTTCGTGTATGTAGATAACTTCGTACATTGAAACGAAGCAGCGACGAGAGTTTCACCGCTCGCGTTGAGTCCTTGGCTTCCTGAAATAGTTTCTGAAATAGTACGCGTCGCGGCACGTGTAATAAACCCAATTTCACATATTTAACGGACATACCGTCTCTGGCACAGCCAACAATGCCTCCAATACAACTAGAATTAAATCTACCGAGCAATTATATATTGAGATGGGGACACGACGATAAAATTCTTCTAGGAAGACGATTTCGAAACGTTATTTTGCATATAAGTCATCTCAAACATTTAATCAAGATTAATCGTGATTGCGATATTCATATAACTATACTATATTTTTATATTAACGTAATCAAGAATAAAAAAGGATGAACGATGAATAAGATTCTGTCACTCATCGTTTCCATATGACTTGATTCGAGACGAGGATAAGATTTTAAGAGAAGACAGCTGATAGACGTTAAAAATATGTCTTCGTTCGAAGTACATATTTCATTATGTAGAATAATAAATCCTGAAAAAAAAAAAAATAAACAGAATGGTCGGAAATTCGAAACGTTTATTTGTATAAAAAATCTCTAAATTCTGCAATCAATATAATAAAACGATATTAGCGTTTGTAAATCTAAGTGAAACACATTTTAATTAATGTTACGGAAAATATTGAAAATTATATCTTAGATCGTGTATTGATATTTATCATGTTAAAAAGTCTTATCACGAAATGGAAAAAGATTTTTATTTCCATTGACTTTTAATCAATGTATCTTTAAGAATTATGTAAATTGCAGGGTGTTCAAAAATTTAGGAAAATATGCGAAAGAGATGCGGGAGAGGTAACTACGGCAATGTAATATCTCGCTCGTAGTGGGACGCATAACTGACATGCCAATCTCGCTTCTGTTGTAGATATGCGGGAAGGTGTTCAGCAACGCATCAGCGCTCACGAAGCACAAATTGACGCACAGCAACGAGAGGAAATATGTGTGCCTGATGTGCGGGAAGGCGTTCAAGCGGCAGGACCACTTGTGAGTACACATACGTTTACTTACGATCATGTATATATGTATTATATCTTCTTTTAGGCATATTTTTCATAGGCTAGTAAACATACAACATATCGATTTATTATAAGGTATTAACGGTCAAGCAGGAAATTAAAAAAATTTGTTGCACATAAAATGCGTTTCCATCATCCATTAGATTTTTTGCGAAGATAACAGATTTTTACGTTCTTGTTAACTTCTTTTTCCGAGCGTAAAATAACGAGCAAGAACTACACACGAGCAGTCTTACACTTATGTTAGAGGAAAATGTTCTCGCTTGTGACACCGAGTCGTTCGTTACGTTTATCAAGACCTCTCCACGATCTACTTCAGGCTTGTTGTATATACGTACATGTAGAAGTAGATGTATACAAGTATACACCTACATAAGAGTCTCGTGGTTTTCTTGTCGAGGTATTGCCTTCGTCACCGCATCAAAGCGTTTCTTCTCAAGCAAACGAACCTGCCGGTATCCCTTCGAGCAGTACAACCACCAGTAAATAAGTTTTATCTTTTCTAGTACAAATCCTAAAAGAATAGAGGGTTCTGCCGAAAGAAAAGAATTATAATTATTATAATAAAATTAGAATTACAATTATGTAAATGATAAGACTTCAAAAGTTTAGTTTATTGCATCCAGCCTCTCTAAAATTTCGACTAACTCATCTACTTTACTATTATTTTGTTTACGCATCAAAAAATCGTATCGATCTTTTTCCCTTTCTTTTCAAGATTATAATCGATAGAATGGAAAATTTAGTAAATTTTATTAAAATAAAAAGATAACGATTTTGACTTGAATAAATCTCACGTATAAATCGAAACAAGAGCGACGTAAGAATAAAGAACTAAGAGGAAGGTCGAGGGAAGCAAGTAGAAAGGAAGGAAAACAAAATAGATAGAAAGGTTAGCAGTAGAAATATAGAGCGTACTAGGAAGACTAAGGATTCAATTCTCCTTGGGAAGGAAGAAAAGGAATAAGAGAGAATCGATGGTGGCAACGGAGGTGGGTCTTGCGAAGTTGACTACCTGACCGGCTAGCTGCCGAGTTGGATCCGTTGTATTTTCTTCAAAGACGGATTTCCAAATCCCCATGCTACGTCTTTCTTACCCCTAACCCTCTTTCTTCCATTTCTATCCAACGTTCTTTCCTTTCTTCTCTTGCTTCGTATGCCTTCCTCGGAATTCGCCATGTATTGCTGGTCCATTCGAGCTGGACAGTATTTTTCTTTTTCTCTTTTTCTCTCATACTTCCTACTTTCTTTCTTATTTCTTTTCTTTTAGTTCTTCCTCTCTTTCTTTCTCTCTCTCTCTCTCTCTCTCTCTCTCTCTCTCTCTCTTTCGCTCTCTTTCTCTCAATAGTTTATCCCTTGTTCGATAAAAAGTTAAGCGGTTCCACGTTCGTTGTAAGCCCTGAAAACTAGCAAGGTATTACTTACGTTCGATCGCTAAACGTTTTCTTGTTTTTCGATAAACTTCCATGGAATTCATTGAATTTTCAGTAAAATTATAGTTATATTAAACAAGTGCTTACATGCGTTTAATCGCAAACAGAAAAAACCGTGAATATTTTCGAATACTAAGGTCATTCTTATTTTAACTGCTTTATAGTATACGAGACAGAAATAACGAAGAATATGTTTTTTTTTTTTGCAAAAGAAACGAATGAACTAGACGAAGTTCGAAATGCCTCTTTATTTTTTAATTTAATTCCTCCAATCTGTCTCTCGGCCTTTGAAGTCCTTCAATTTTCCTGCGATAACTCTGTAATGGAGCATATTTTTTCTCTGGAGAAAGGAATTAAGGATCACCTTATTTATTTACGCAATATACTTTCCGACCTTCGTGCATGACATATATGAAATATTATTTCGAAAAACTAGCAAAAAGAAAAGGAAAGAAGGAACGTTGTTTTATTTATTTTCAAGAAATACGAGATTCGTCAAAAATATGTATGTATATTATAACCACAATCGATTTATTATTTAAGTTACATATTATCTGTATATCGTTCAAAAATGAATTAAAGAGGTTATTAGACTCTCTTTGAAAAGAGCGTTTCACTTTCAGAGCACACGAAAGGCTCAATGTCTCGTTCTTTATAAATTAATCATCAAATCTTTCCCTAAAAAATCCCTAAAAATCAAGAGTACGAAGAATAAAGAATAAAAAATTTATTATTTTGTAATATTTTCGCAATAGTTCCTTTTTAGCTAATTGCTTTGTTCTACATTAGCGATGGGATGTAAATTTGAAGGATCAATATTTTGTAGCTCCTGAAAAACAAAATCTTAAGGATGCGACACGAGGAGCACGAGATTAAATCTGATATTCGCGTTGTAAGACTAAACGCTCAAACTCGAGGAATAAAGGAGCTTTAGAAATATATTAAATATTTTTCAGTAGACTATAAAGGATAAATCCTAAGAACTTTACTTAAATTATTAATCTTAACTAAGTTACATTAGTGAACTAGGCCGAGAAACAAAAGTAATTAAGACAAACGAGATCTACGTGGCGGATGGTATGTTCGTAGGTGTTGCTACTTTGAAAGTTGCCGAATAAAAGATCGAGAGTTAGTACTTTTTCAAATTCATATTTTGGATAGGAGGAAGAGGAAGCTGATATGATGGAATTAGTTTTTAATGCTACTTGAGCTTAGGGTTGTCTATTTAATTCGAAACGTGTGTGACTTCAAAGACTGGGTTAGACAAAATATGAATTACAAGCATAATAGGAGAACACTGTTATCGTTGTATAAGCTTGTGTAGGTTATACTTCTCTCATGCTATATAACAATTGAGTTATTATGAGTTAAAGTATTAGTGAATCACAGTTTCTCATATTTATATTCTTCTTTAATAGTGTCGTGCATCTCGTAGTAATCCATACTAGATAGAACGCAGCATCGATACATATTTATATTACGATAAATTTATAGAATATAAAGAATAATAAATATAATTGATACATTATATTAACGAATATATAAATTTGCGACAAAAACAAGATTTTATTGGTTATTTTTTCAAAAATAATAAATAATAAAATTTAATAAATATATTTATGTATATTATAATAAAAATCAAAACATATGAGTTAGTTTTCTCCCTATCTATGAGATAGAATTCCCAATGCTATTATTTTTTATGGTTTTCTCTGAACTAGTATTAGCTCAGTTTATATTATTACTATTACTGCTATTGCATTTCGTGTATCATCTCGCATTGATGCTTTTTCACATGAACAGTCCTCGACAATTTGGACATGTGATCATTCACTAGTAGATATAATTAATATTAATGAGATACGATGATAAATACAAAATGCATTTGGCATTTTTGTCCATTATCGTATCCTTGTTTTTCTGCCATATAATCATATCAACAGTTCGTAATACTCGCATTTGTTTTTATTCTGTTTTTGCTTATATTGATATTATTTTGGTTCTTATTGATTCTCTTATTGATTTTGTGAAATTAATAATTTGTATGAAATTGATATGAAGAAAAATAAAGATACATTCATAAGTCATTTATAGCATCGTCCGTTTTTAAACAGATAAATATAACAAGGATATATTGTTATCTAAGCGATTCCGAAGAAGAAGCCGCCGTCGGTCAATATGTGAACAATTTTCGGGAACTTGGAAAAGCCAACAAAGGAGGGGGGGGGGTCTTAGTAAATATTTATTATTCGAACGTATATTAGAATTTTCTAAAGTAAAAGAATGTTGAGATAAAACATTTTACATTTTTCATCCATAAACGAAAACAATTGTAAATAAAATATCCTTATGATTATCAATTCTACGTTTGCAAAAAGTAACATGCCACCATTAACTTTACTGTTATAATATAGAATGTACATGATGTACATAATATTAATGTATGTTTTTTATTATTTTATTATTTTAGCCAAGAGTGGGCCGAGTTTCTAAATTGGTTGGAATGATAAAGATAGGGTAGAGAAATTTAATCCGAAGGTCATAAGAAGGCACTACTTTTATTCGTTTTGTTTGAGAACTAACGCAATACCAATTAATTTTGTTGACTCTTCCTTAAATATAGCTAAAACAAGAGCACCATACGTTGTAATATTATAGATTATATTGTGAATGATTACTTAGTTGATTCCCAAACAATTACATTATCGTCGTAATTGATCATTTTGCCCGTTTGACTGTCCTCAATCATTACTTCTTTTTTATGTCATATAATGTTTTACAAATGTCTACAGAATAGGAGTGAAAGCACTAAATTTAGGGCAAACATAACAAATAATAAATACATTAATTACAAACATACATATATTTGCGTAAACAAGTAATGTATAACGCAACGCTCATTTGACTAGTAATTAAGTTTTGTCTTTTGAAAAAATTTCGAAGCCAATATTTCAGTCAGGATTATACTTTGAAAAGGTCTTTGAATTAATTGAAAACCTTCTACGTTGCTGACTATATATCAATAACATATATTAGAGTGTTGACCACATATGGTCTAGCACAGTTTTCACTACGTGAAGCCTTTTAAATTTCGAGACAAGCTTTTTGTTAACATTCCTGACATAACTTAATCACCTACTTGATTTGCATTTTAGCTTTCCTTGATCTTCTTCACCGAAGATTCACTGAAATTCAAAACAAAAATTTTTTAATTTTACACAAATTTCTATCGACAGATATATTTTGACTCAAATACTCTCGTATTTTGTCGTTTACCTTGGTGTTGGTTTATGTCAACGTATACCTATCTAGTAGGAGTCTCATCCGTCGACCTACACACAGTATTTTAATTCGTGAACTCGACCATATCCAACGAAACGTCCCATTTATTCGATGTTACGGAATTCTTTGCTAACATCAGGATTAAATCTCTGTTGAAACGCTCCACTTGTCCACTCGCATGCGGAATTCCGCGTACAGCAAAAACATGGTGAATATATTCCGTTTACAAGAAATTTTAAAATTCTTTGGACGC